AATCTCCAGCATGATCACCGGATCAGGTACCAGAAGCGTCGCGTTGCCGTTCAATGCTTGCGAGAGCGCCAGGTTGAACTTGGGGAAGTCCGGAGAAGAGTTGACCGTGTAGTACAACGCGAACTTGGCCAGCGTCGCGGTGACGTTGAGATCGCTGAACGAACCGTTCTCGGCCATCTGGATGACCTTGGTGAATGCCTATGGAGTTTGCGCTCAGCTTCGGCGGAGTAACATCATCATGGTTGCACTCCATCAACTACATACCTCGGGGACGCTGCCGTTGCCCTGATCCTTGAAAGGGCAAGACGGATCGGATTGGCAGAAATCGTCCGCGCGAAGAACAAGACGGTTGACCGCCGTGATCTGATCAGCGACGGCGATTTGATCGACCTGAATGATTGGTTGTATCAGCACAAGGCATGTAGATGGAGCTCGAACATACCGTTGCGTGCGAGAGAACGGCGTCGAGGACAAAGTTGCCAACGCTTTCTGGGAAACGAGAGGCGTATTCGGCAGCTTGGAAGGTCCCGCTGTCAAGATATATCAGAGCGGTGCCACATCGAAAGTTGAGGCCACTAACTATGATACGCCCAAGAAGTTCATCTTGGTATAGTTGAGGGCATTCATCAAAGTGTTCCAATCTTGCGCAACTTCCTCCGTGCCAACGTGCTGAACGATTCCCGGGGGAGAGCTTCCAGTGATGCAGGATTGTGCGAACGTAGCCACCGATGTTTGATAAGCCGAGAAGGAAGCTTGGTCCGTTGGGCTGCTCGGCACTTATGAGTATAGAACATTGGAAGAGGTATTGGCCATTCTTACAGCGCAATCGGTATCTCCGCTGCGGCGACCAGAGAGCAGTTCAAGGGATTTGACTGTCCGACGCCGCGGACGTCGACAGCTGCATGTCGAATCAGCTGACTACCGAAAGATGTTCCGCTGAGCGGCTTACCAAGGAAATCCTGGTCAAGCACGCCATCAAACATGGCGCTCGACGAGGAATTGAGAGCAATACCCCATGCAAATGAAGCTGCCTCCAAGCCAGGTCCACCTAAATCGTCTTGTGAGCCGCCAACAAAACCAAACTCACGTCACAAAACACCGAGCACACGTACCTGGGTTACTGGTCCAACCAATTCCATCAATCATTCTAGACGCTCCGGTAGGAATGGAGCGAGCTCACAAATTAAGCAATTGCGTTGCGTTACCTGGGCGGTGCATGGCAAATCCCAGGGTAATGTTATTGGTGTCGCTGATCGGAGCTGAATAGTCAAGCGGAACGGTCAAGTGACCGCATGCCAGTGTCGACGGGAGAGGCGGAAGTCCGGAGGCGTTCCAGGTCGTGACGTTAAACTGCTGCTGAACGGGCGCGGGTACGTTGACCGAGCAATCAATCCATTCAAGCTGGGCACCGAAATTGCTCGTAAAGGGTGGTCTGTATGGCACGGGAAAGGCGACAATGGAAGTAGCAAGCGTGAGGAGGGTCGTGAATAAAAGCATAATGAGCGATCTACGCTGAGTGAAGAAAGAGGGAAGTTGGAGATCGAACAACTCGAGGAAATCTGCAACAAATCTTCCAAACTCCTTTTGAACCTTCGAAGCCTTCTAGGAGCAAGGTGCTTCCGACGACGGTAAATCAGCGGAGCATGATCACTGAGGCAGCGAATGGGCTCACCCAGGGAAGAAGCGTGCAAGTTGCTATGCATCTGCCACCAATTTGCTTCTGAGTGATGAGGTGCGCAAGAGACGCACGTAGCATAGCGTTAGTTGCCAGGGGCTGTGATTAACGACAGTCGGACAGACAAGGTGCCGGTGAAGCTGATCTTTCCTGAAGTGAGTGCGATCCACTTTGGTCCGCGCCAACCACCGTCTAGCACATCTTGCGGCAGGTTGTACGAACCGCTAGATGTGCATAATCTCATGCATCATGCATCATGATCGGAATCCACCCTGAGCATCTACGCTCATGCGCATCCCACTCTACACAGCTCGCGCAACGGGTTGCAGAAAAAAGCTCCAGAGTAGAGTAGCGATTCGATGAAGAAGGCGTGGTATTCATTATACCATAATTCTAATCGAGCCGGTTGTGCAATAGTCAGAGATGAACCAACAGTCGTACGGTCAGTAAGTGACCGTGCCGTCAGGAACATCCCGGAAAGTAAGTACTTACTGATGCTATCCACCAGCGCCCCTCGGTTATCCGGACCGATTGTGCATTTACTATTGAAAAACACATGTGAGTTCAAGCAGGGGCGTGAATCAAAAAGCAGTGATTGCGCATCAAGGAAAGATAGAGAGCCTACACCGTATCATAAAGTAGTGTTTGCGTTTGCATGAGGGCGTTGAATCCATCAAGGAGTGATTGTGCATCAGAGGACGCTCCAAAGAGGACGTTCTTAGCAGGAACCCGAACAAGTACTTATGGACCGTAGCATCATACTCTTGTGCTAGCGAGCTAGTGACGCACGCAGGGTATTGTCGCCGCGTTCCAAGGTCGGCGTCCTGTATACCTTCGGTCGAAGCGAGGAGTTGGCACGGGTTAGAGACGTCGAGGATCCGAAGCCTGAGGTAAGTAGTTATGTACTTAGTCTGCGATTATATCACATATGTATCCCGATATGCCTCCTCGCGCAGCAGATGATAGGCCACAGGATACAGCAGCATTGACCGTGATTGAGCTCGTCAATGCCATAGTCCCACCGCACAGCCCCGGGACGCGTACCCCCCTTACGCGTCTCGCGCAGGCGTCAAGCTTCAATCTCGTCTTCATACACACTTCTCGTACTTGTCGGCATCCACGTAGTCTGCCCATCATGGTACGCATGGTTTGAAGATGGAACGAGATGCACGTCTGACGTCTGACCATATCAATCGATACTCCCACTGGATCCGTGCTATACTCTTACACGATGCGTTCGGCGTCAACCCCCGCGAATGGCGCATATAGTCGATAATGGAGACTAACGGTGGCTCCGTGGTTGCCATGGTTGGCAAGGACTGTGTCGCCATTGCGTCCGATCTTCGTCTGGGGAACCAGGCCCAGGGTCTTGCCGCCAACTTCCAGAAGGTACGTCCCAAGAGCTCAAGAATGCGATCGTAAACTGACACTCAGACCGATAAAGGTGTTCTCTATAACCGACAGGATATATCTCGGTCTTCCAGGCCTCGCGACGGATGTGACAACTCTGTACGTTCTACTTGTCATATGACCGATGCAGCCTACTCATTTGACCCAGTTACGAACGCTTCCGCTTCCGAACGAACATGTACACCATCAAAGAAGAGCGCGAAATCTCGCCAGAAACCTTCGCCCACCTCGTCTCCTCTACACTCTACGAGCATCGATTTGGACCCTATTTCATAGAGCCCGTCATCGCGGGCATCTCCGCCGCCCCTACCGCCTCCCCGTCCGCCGTCTCCTCAGGCACCCTCGCACCCCCTCCAGGGAAGAAATGGCAGCCGTTCATTGCGGCGACGGACGTCATCGGGTGCATCAACTTTGCGAAGGACTTCGTCGTCGCCGGCACAGCGAGCTCAACCCTGTTCGGTGTGGCAGAAGGCCTGTGGGAGCCTGACTTGGAGCCTGAAGATCTGTTCGAGACGATCAGCCAGACGATGTTGAACGCGCTCGATCGGGATGCGTACTCGGGGTGGGGGGTGGTGGTCCATGTGATGTGAGTATCACGTTGTCCCTCGGGAAATTTTAGCGATGGTTGACGGCCTTATGATACAGAACACCAGACAAGGTTATCACTCGCACATTGAAAGCCAGGATGGACTGAATACTTCATCTGCTGTATTCTCTTGTCAATGGAATGATATCTGCCGTCTTTCCACTACCGGCATTCTAGTGGCCGGGCATGCTTCTCGAATTCCTTCCGGAAACTCTATCACCAGTAAGCCGAGACGCACTTTCTGTCCATAGGACGAAGAAAATGTTGTCACGAATGACGGGCGATCTTATTCCGAGATCACTACAGCTCTGCCAGGGCGACTTTAGCATACTCATACGGCCATGCTGAAAGAAATGCTTACATTGAGCAATCAATGAGGTAATGCGGTGCGGTTCAGATCTGGCCAGGAAGAACGTTCACATTCCCTTCCGAATTTAGGTCGCAGCGGCACTAGGGAAAAATAATGGTCTACCGGAACGCGCATCTGATTAAACCAGCAAGTTGCTGTTCAAGCTGTCGATGTTGGTAAGACACGTCTATATTATCTTTTTCTTATATTCAAACTCTGAGAGTTTATGGCGGATAGCTCTGTAGGCGGTGAGAGTCAACGCTTATCATTCACAGCCTCAAATGGGCGGAAGTCCGACCCATATTGGCCGTAAATGCGGTATATAATCCGCGATTGCCCTTGGTATTTGTTACTGTCCGCATCATGTTGTCTTTACCATCCGGTGATATTCCCTTATTGACCAGCGACGACCAGCGATCGATCAGCACGAGTGATAACTCCACCGTGTCGGACCTGCCTGGCGCGGGACGCTCAGTCGATAAGGTCCTTTCTCACGCAGCGAAACGTCTGAACAGACTTATCCTACGAGTCACGGAGGTACTTGGCTACGGACCGAACGCTTTGGTTAGGCGGACCATACGGCATGCCGCGTTACAGATGACGCCCACCTTCACTCCTTGCCCTCGCTGCCGTCACGAGGATACCATCAAGGACCTACTACCAGGTTTGGAGCGTGAAGACGGCTTCCATGGATTCATCGCCTTCCTGTTCGCCACTCCGGCCCTTGCGTGTGTTGAGTGTCGGTCGAGCTTCGTCAACTTTTTGACCTCCACCAACGACGCGCGGAAATGCTGTACGCGCCTGACGGGGTATTTGGAGTAGGCCTACAGTGATAACGTTTCCTTCCTCTAGCTAACTCGTTATACTTAGATCCCGCAACTTGTCTTGCCGAATGGCGGCGATAGCTTATATTCGAGCGTTAGCTACGTTCGATGATAACTTTCGTCGCATGTTTCTAGCAACGGGGGCTTGTCATATACTTGAAGATACCGCATCACGCCGTTTGCTGTGTTACGCTGAAGACACGTCGTACGCGCTACAACTGTCTTCGCGTTCTGCCCTCGTCTGCTTGGAGGAGAGCAACATGCTCAGATTTCTGAAGAATTTTGACGCAGCTAACAACTCCCTGTTTCATCGCGGCGTCGCACAAGATACTGCTGAGAATCGCATCATTGTTGCCGATATCTCTTCGCATCTACGGGAGATGATCGTATCCCTGATAGCAGACGTGACGTGAGTTGGCTAGACAGCGCTTCGTTCACCCGTCGTTGACGCTTTCTGGCAGGTCTCTCGACGGGCACATCCTGTGCATTAGACGATTGCAAACGTTTCTGCCTTTATGGACGTGCGCTTGGCTTTTCTCTACAATCAGAGGCTACCTCACCCAGCAAACCGTGATTTCCATCTTGAAGAGGCTGGCGATCTGTAGGGACGCCAGCACGCGCCAATTGCTCCTGCAACTCGTATCGCAGCTGTTCACCACCTCTTCGTACTGGCTGCTGGATGCACGCGGTAGGGAATCATATGCGTGGCTTTGGCGAGACATATTCGGAGCGATATTCATGTTTAGGTAAGGTGTTTTCTTGATGTAGAAGGTCGAGTCCTGTTTAAAATATCCTCCAGGAACGATTATCCCGAGCTGTTCCATCGCATTGACGGCTCTCTGTGGACAGCGACCTCCGAAGCGTTTCACTGGTACGCAGAGCGCTATGCGATTGCAGACAGCCGTTGGGCGTCGATGCAAGATGCATGTCCTGAACTTCTACCCTCATCTCTTCTTGAAAATGGCGCTTCCAGTATCTTGGGACGTGTCAATTGGCACATCCTTCGGGTATCCTGCCAATTTCAGGAGGAGAGGGTTATGTTCAACAATTTCTGGGACATACCCCGGTCTATTCCGAGGAGACGGAGGGAAGCCCTTTGCAAGGCGCTCTACGACGGGCTGATATCGTGAGCCGATAGTTTTCCACGTCCCGTTTCTCGGCACCCGCTGATGTTCATGCACGTTCAGGGTCGGTGGAGACAACGAGTGCTCCATGCTCGCTGTCAAGGCCACCATCTCGCCATGGGACACGGAGACACGAGAGGTCATGCAGGCCACGGCGACATGTTCCGCGCATCGCGTGAACGCATTTCTGCCTCTTTCCTCCGCAGGAGTTCCGCCCGACGAGGAACGGCCCGAATGGCTGGAATGCACGGGGCTCGCGGTCGGAATCGATGAACAAAATACGTGTTCTCGATCGGGCGTTTCTGAACTCGAGGTAAGCGTCCCTTTCGGTCTATACCAAGGGAGAGTTGTTCAAAACGCTGTGAACGGCAGGCTTTCGATGATCATTGGTGTCTCCCGTCGTTCTCTGGCCGCACATACCGCAAAGACGGGGGATATGCTCGCCTCGTAGCAGGGTCCGCTGGTTGGCGTTCTCTCAGGTGGATGGTTGTATCCGATATGCCGACGGATGGAAGCCTATGGCCCATAGCGGTCGCCTGTGGCCACGAGACGCGACACCTGGGATGTTTCAGGCAAGATCCAATGGGCGGCAAGCTATCGCTGCTGGACGGTGATCTGCATGCTGTGGGGGGGCGTGACAGCTTCGAGAAGAATCGAGGGCGATATCGGCATCGACAGCGGACTTCACGTCCTCGTGAGCCTTGACAGAAACACCCCAGTGTACTGGATGACCAGGTGAACTCACAAAAAGCAGCAGTCATCAAACGTCATGCTTACCAGTGCCTGGCTAGAGAGCATTTGCTCCACGCGGTCACCTTGGAAAGAGCAGCGAGGCAATTCGTTCCCTCCGCGATTTTGAAGAATTGCTTGTGCTGGTATGAATGGATGAGATGAAACAGATCCTTCAGTGGATTCAACGTCCCCTAGCCACTCGGTGCGAGATCACATGGGGGTGATATCAGCCTCGCCGGTTCACTTTTTTCTCTCTCTGATGGAGTACGTTGCAAGCATATATACATCCCAAATCGAATCTAGGGGACACATTCCTGCCCGCGCTCATATCGTGTACCTGCCCTCCTCGAGCCACACAAAGCTCGTCCTCGTCGGCAACTCGGTGTTCCTCGCCACGATCGTCAGATTGCGTCCCCCCTGCGTCCTCTCCAGCATCACCACGCCCGCGCTGCCCGCGACGCCTCCCGCGATCAAATACCGGTCCTCGGGGCCGCCGACGATCATGCCCCTGATCTGGTCCAAGCCCGTGAACACGTGCGTGACGAGCTTGAGCTCCACGTCGGACGGGGAGCGGAAGACGGGCTCGAAGACGGCGACGGCGTCGCCCTCGGGGGGCAGGACGCCCGTGTTGCGGTTCGAGACGTAGACGTAGGGCACGGGGAAGGCCGGCGAGGGGGGCGGGATGAGGATCTCGCCGGCGGCCATCGCGGCGCCCGCGGGGAGCGCGGGCGGGAGGATGGAGACGTTGGCGCTGATGGCGCTCGTCCCGTTCGGCGCGGCGGGGAAGGCCTGGGCGGTGAGCGTGCTCGCGAGCTCGTGCAGGGCGAAAAGCGTGTTATCTGTGCAACGTCGAGGGGGGAGGGGGGTCAGACGAGGGCGGGCGATCGCGCGATCGGAAAAAGGGATGCTGACTGAAGACGGCGATGTGCCGCGGGCCGCTTCCGGACGGCTGCGGGATGTCGCCCTGGATCTTCCAGCGTCCCGGAGCGCCGTCTTCGACTAGCCTCCAGATCTTGTCCGCGCCCTGAGAGGAGGTCAGCTGGAGCGTTTGGGTGGTTTAAGAGAACCTTGGGGACTCGCCAGGTCGGGCACGAGGACCTCTTTTCCGTGCTGGAGGGCCATGTGCGGGTGGCTGACGGTCGCGGGGAAGGTGACGAGGTCGGCGTCGGCGAAGTGCAGCGGGTCGGTCGTGGTGGGTACGATCTTCCCGTTCCCTCCGTCGTACTGGGGGTCGCAATCGGGGTTAACTCAGTCTCGCACGTGCGCGTAGAAGGGCACGGTTGCCGCTCACGTTCATGATGGCGACCTGCCCGGTGCTCAACGGCACGCAGAAGGCCGGGGAGCCGCCGTCGCTCGACACGTCCTCGACGGACGTGAGCACGCCCTGCGGGCCGATCGTGAACGACTGCAGGCCGCCGGTCGGATCGTTCTCGTTCGTCGCACTAAGTACCGCATATATGCACGGTAAGCGGCCACGGAAAAGAAAGAAAAAAAGCCGCAGAGGGAACGCATACGAGCCCACGCACTAGAGGATGCGCTGGTTCGTCGGGTGCCCCACGATCCAGCTCGGGTTCGCGCCCGTCGGGCTCGTGTTGAGCAGCGAGAGCGTCTTCGCGTCCGAGTTGAAGAGGTAGGACGCGACGAAGGTCGTGTACCCTCCGGCGAGGATCGTAAAGTTGACCATTTTGTTCGTATTCCCCAGGAGAGATGGGAGGGAGGGTCGTCACGGGAGGGACGTCGCTGCTACATCTGTTTTATATCTGGCAGGTCGCGCATGGACCGAAACCCGCGCTGGGTATTCCGGAAGACCGAGGGCAAATGATGCTTGCGCGTGCGCCCCTGCCTTCGTCCGAAGAGCGATGTCGATGAGGGGAGGGGCCGTGTGCCAAAGATGCGCGCGGCGTGATGAGAGAAACGGACGAACGACGGCGCCGTTGCCGAGGTATCCGACGCTGTGGTCCCGTGCGCCCGCATCGAGGATCGATATCGGGCGTCCGACTGCACGAAATAGCCAGCCGAAGCGGATGGCGGCAGCGATGAATGGGGTCAGAAGAGTTGCAGAAGAGGTAAGACGGATGAGATGTGCCGATGGATGGAGAAGGGGGAAGAACTGCGCAAGCGATACACGCCGTTCGGACATCGCGCCGAAACTCTGCCGGGCGTGGAAGGTTTTGGTCTCGCACCGACGCGATGACGAGCGATATGTCGGGGGTATCTTGGCGAAAAAAGCACCATGCTCCTTCGGCCATGATGTCTCGATAAATCCGTCCGATAACTTCTCGGATTCAGATGTGTGCAGGAATACGCAACGTCACGCCGACGCCAGCAATAGGCGCAAAGCAGGAGACGGGGAGCTACACCCTCCTCCTCCGCTCACATGTTCATGAAACTGCCCTTCATTCCCAGCCCGCCACTGTTTTTGTCGCGAATAAGAGTACGGCGACTGTCTTTCGGGCAACGCGCAGGAGGCGCTGTGTTAACGCCGGGGTTGCGGATCGGACTCGCACGCGGAGAGCATCCCGATTGTTGCAGTCACCACGTCTTTCTCTGCGAGAAGATCGACGACCCTCATTCATGCACGGCGCTTTGCACTCATCGAGTCACAATCACATAATCTGTCCAGTCTACAGTTGCGGACAACCAAAGACGACAAGTGGGGTTGCGAGTGAACGGCTCGTTACTTTTTTAATCTGACTTCAGATTCAGAATCAGTCAGGCTGGAAACGTCGAAAAAAACGACCTCCGAAGTTTTTCCCGCGGTTTTTGATGTCGATTTTTTTCGAAAACGTTGTGTACCTCTCTGAGCATTTCGGGCATCCATGGCGGGTAACTTCCGAAAAACTGACCGTGGGAGAACTATAGGTGACCGTGGGAGGCAGATTTGACCGGCCCATTTCTCGCTAACGGCTCGTGAGATTTTTTTGAAAGTCGGGGATCAAATTCCGCTCAACGGAAGGAGTTCATGGAATTATTCTTGGGAATTCTCCCATTTTTATAAGGGTCCGGCCAAAAATTTGGCCAATTTTTCCTCTTTTTACTCGAATTCTCGAATTTGGCTCGTGCCAATCGGTTCATCTACGTTACGTACATGCAAAAAAACCCCGGGTTTTGGGACTCCTAAAGCGTGTGACTGAAACTTGTCGTCTTTGGGTGTCCGCAACTGTACGAGGCACAGGTACTCAACCCACCCCGCGCGCTCGTCGTTACAACCCGGTCTCATTCATTCCGGTGGGCATTTCATAAAAAACGCCCCCCGCTTCTCGTCCCGGCCCAAGTCCAAACAGCCCGATTAAGTTGGAGGGTCTCGCTTCTATGCGGCAGGACAGGGGCAGCGTGTGTTTTCGAGGCCGGCGTCCCCTCCGAAATCCATGGGTTGGGGAAATGTCGAATCTGTGTAGCCTTCGTACGCGCGTGCGATACGTTAACCGTACGCAAGGACCCGGGCTTCAACTCTCTGCGCGATCCTAAACGCTCGGACCCCGTGAGACGGCGCGCCTCGAACAAGAAACAAGAAAATATAATCCAAGTGCGTCCGGGATCCTTCCAGGGTGACTGCGCTATACTCATCGTGCGCGTGTTTGGAATAGGAGACGAGCCGATGCGACGCGTTTCTCAGCCTTCTGAGAGTGTGTATGATGGGCAGCAAAACGACGAGCCACGAGCTCAGAGGTGCTTTGGCTGTATAAGTGACCGCATGAGAATGCTTATAGAGGGACTTCCGGTACCGGAACTCGGTGCGATGCGCGATTCATTCAACGTGACTTGCTGACCAGTGCTTTTGCCCTGTCACTGTGCTATTTACTCATCCTGGACTTGCAGCCTTGTTACATCCAGAGGATAACCACCGGAAGACGATCGGGAGACGACGAGCTACGAGCGAACGTGATACAGAGTGGTGTTTCGGTCGCATGCGTGACCATATGAGAAATCCTCAGAGGGAATTTCCGGTGCCGGGAGTTCATGCCGAAAGCGCGCGGGAAGACAAAAGGTTAATTGTCCAAGCGCCGCTGACAAAGCCTACAGAACACCGTTCGGACTGAGGCTGCACTCGTCCGCGATCCAAAGTTAGCGCAATCCGGTAACGCCCCTCTCGGAACGTCGACATTGAACGCAGGCCGCCGAAACTTATGGGTGTCTGCAGCCGTATTGGCGCATGGGGGGCTGGATCCATTCTCATGAAGCGTCCTTCGGAGGCCGTCAGCACCAGCACCCTGGGGTCATGCTGGGGTCATGTGAAGAACAACATGGGAAGAACGCCTCCTACTACGTTATGCACGCCAAAATGCTTCAAGTCTACGAACGAGAGAGGGATATAGCTGATGTGTTTGTCTTACGTCTCAGGGGCAGGAATACGGCATTAACACTGTTTTGACAGGAGGTCTACATCCGGCGCATACCAACGTTCATACGCCGTACGCCGTCCTTTGATCCAACGATTCGGCACGCGCCGCAGATCAAAGTTGCCGACTCCCACGAATGGTAGGTAAAAGAAGCTTGGTCGGGCCCGAATCATTTAAGCTTTCAATTGAACGGGTACGCATTCCTGTGTCCCCCTTCTCCGACATTCGTGTCAATGGGATATAGATGCCGAAAGCTGCTTTGGGGATGCAAACGACACTCCGGCTCGCATAGCCATAGGGATATCAGGCCGCAAATCTTTCTAGAGTGCGTCCTCGCGTTTGGTTCCTCTCCCTACCCACACCCGTCCTTTCGTCCGTTAGTGCCATCCGCCAAGGCGCGCCATGGTGGACTGGAAATCTTCCGCCGAGTCCATGCACGATGCCAGTACGCTCTGCGCTCCCTTATGGCCCGTACTCGCCCGGCTCCGCTGAGATTTTGACTTGCTCCTGCAGCGATCTACGTCTACATGGCTCACGCCCTCGTCGGGTTGTACTTTTGGGAGCTCGTGAACAGCTTTGGGCTCGAATGGGAGATACTCTCCGGTAAAAGGAGGTTTCGGTGGCCTATGGCAAGGGCTTGAGCGCCGTTCACACTGGGACGCGGCAACGCTAACCGCCCACAGATCTCCTACTTTGCCGGGAGGTACTCGCTGGTGGCCTCGATGATCGGATCGTGAGTGACGCTTGGGTATGTCACTTATGGTCAGCTCTGCTTAACCTCCGAACTATCCAGTATCATTGCGCTGGACGTGGAGAGCCGAAAGCTTCACTGCCGTGCGCTGTGGGTATCCATCCAGGCGTTTGGCGAAGCAGCTGTGGGGTTTTCGACCATCAACCTTTCCATGCGGGTGTGAGCGCTTTTCCTTCATTTTGAAGTATCACGTCCGTGAAGCTGAAACACCGTGGTCAGCATCGCTATATGGAACCACGACCGGTACATCGTGGGTCTCATCGGCGCCCTCGTTCTCGGGCACTGGTTCCTCATGTTCCGCAGTGCGCCTTCCATCTAGCCCCGGTGGCCCCATGTACTTATCTCAGACGCGCTCAGGTCTACCTCTGGACGCAGAGTTTATCCCTGGGCTCGGATGCGCCGCAACGACGCTGAGCAAGACGTTCATCGCAGCTCACTACGTGTACACCATGATGTTCGACCTGGTGATCCTGGCGCTCAGGTGAGTTTCAATTGTCCTTCCCTCTACCAATGTTTACCAGGCTTATTGATGACGGCGCAGTGTGTATAAGCTGGGCGTATCGTTTAACGAAGGTAATCCTCCCCTCGTCACTCTTTTGTTCAGAGACGGCGTAGCATACTTCGTGATCGTGTGGGTACCTTCCCTTAAACCGCGTAGAGAGCCAATGGCAGGGTGCTGACGCAGGCGCTGAGGCAGGATTCTGTTCAACATCTTGTCCGTGACGTTCATGTTGCTCGACCTGAACCCTATCATGCGAACTGTGCGCCTTCTTTTCTCGTTTCCGAGCTCCATTTTTCCGAACTTACGGCTGTTCGCCAGATGTTCGGCCTGCCCGCTGGCGTTGTCAGCGTCGTAAGCGCTTTATCCGTTTCCGACCCTGCGCTGATGCGCGTTCCTCATCTCTTCCCATCCCAGATTGCTTCGTCCCGCGCGGTTCGAAGGCTGCATCACTATGTCACGCCGACGCTTGGCGTAGGGTGCGTTGCCGTGCACAACCACCGGCAACTGTACACTCACGTACCGACTACCGCTAGCATCACCATACCCACATCGAACCCATACCTCCCCTCCGAAGGATGGCGACATGCCTCGCCGCGTACTGGCACCACGAATACTAGCGGGGGAGGATCCGTGGCAACGCGACCGACCGATCACAGAATCCAATTTGCGCCGGTGGGTCTTCCTTGCCAGCGACAATCATATGTGTGATGACTGATGAGAGTTTGCGAGGGAGCAGATGTCACGGTTGGCGTCGACGCCTGATGTTCTGGAGGAGGACAAGGACTCTATTGCTTCCCTTCAGCTTGCGAACGCGTCCGATACGGAACTTCAAGGACGCGGGTGATAGCCTTCGTACAGGGATTTGGGACTGAGAATATGTACATCTACAAGCCAGTGACGCTCTACTGCGGAGGTGACGGGGTTAACACATTGACACAAGCAATTGCATGGGCAAGCTGGTGATCATGAACCAAACCATCGAAGCCTACATGATCTCCCCGCGCGCTTGCCTCGCCTACTGAACACGCGCTTGCTCTTTTCTATGCAGGGTGACTAGCTTAGCGGCCTCAGGCTATGATTATATCAAGACGCGAGGGATCTGGAAATGGAATGATTCTGATTGGACGTTCCGAGGCGAAGAGGTATCGGTCCAACTCCAGCCCGGAGTTCGTAACTGGTTTGCATGCTTGGCGATTGGGCGCATCGTTCCACATACCGTGCAATCTTGTCCCGCAGCTCATCCTGAAAACACTACGGTTCATAAGCGTATTTGCACCTATTTCCGGTGACACAAGCCATCGCCTCCGTGTCGTTTCTCCGTACCCGACTCCATCTCAATCTCTCATCATATGCTGCGGCTCTCACTCCCGCGCCTCTTTTCATCTCGTCCATTGCGTCTCAGAATACAACGTCTGACCGCGCTGACGACACGCACAGTTAGCTCTGCCCATTACTTGCTAAAAGTGGTACCGAGTATCCCGCACCTTCGTCCCACACCCATCTCTGAGCTCTCACTCCGACTCGCGCATCCCACGCTCTCGACGCCTCCTTCAAAACACGGCTGTACAACATGTCATCGCGCTCCTCATTACAACTCGCTACCGACAGTGGAACGACTAGACCCTGACTGCATACCTGGCACTCTTTAGTACTTGACCTTGGACGCTCACGACTTTCTTCAACCAACGCCGTTTCCCCGCTTGCCATGTCCTCGCCTACGTCTTCGCTCCCCTTGACCCCTATTGAAGAGCATGCACGCATCCATGCGCACCTTATGACGCTCGGATTTCTCGCTCTTCTGCCTGCAGGTATTCTCGTTGCGCGATACTTCCGCACGTTCACTCGGAGGTACGCTGGTTCCCGCCGGATTCCGTACATTCCCGTTGACCTTGAATGTACATGTAGGTGGTGGTTCGGCCACACCCTCATCCAAGCGATCGTATCAGGTCCGGTCATCATTGCCGGGTTCGTGTACGGGTACCAGTCGACCCAACGCCTCTTCACGGGCGGTCACTGGAACGACCCGCACAAGGTAAGCCTGACCACTCGGGCGCGCGGGGGAAAATAAAAACAGCTTCTAAACATCGCAACGCACACAGAAAATCGGCCTTGCGCTCTTCATCCTCTACCTCGTCCAGCTCGTGATCGGCCTCAGCATCCACTACTTCAAGCCTTCGCCGACTTTCTTCAAAGGCCGGCGCCCGCCGCAGAACTACTTCCACGCGCTGTTCGGGCTCGCGATCGTCGCGCTCGCGTCGTATCAGGTCCACTACGGGATGTTCATCGAATGGGCGCGCTCCACGGGCAACCTCCACCCGGTCGCGATGGGCTGCAAGCACTTCTGGCTCGGATGCACCACGGTGAGCCTCGGTATTTTCTGTTTCCAGTTTCGGTTGGAGGCTGACGCGGGTACGGGATGCGTGAAAGGTGTTCTTCGGGCTGTACTTCATCGGCGTCGCGCTCTTCCTCCGCCGGCAGTATCGGCAGGAGGCCGTTGCGCGCGACAAGACCCTGAACGGGAACGGAGCGTACGGAGATGGCGAGAGCGGCCGGGGCCTCACCAAGCAGCAGAAGGTGTAAGAGGTGGAAAGCGATAACTGCTATGCTTTGCTGGCCTGAACTCTCTACTCTATCACAACGAGTTTTGTACTATATATCGATGATAATGTGCTAGCCTGCGTCTGGTGGTGAGTGAGCGTGCCTCAACACGCAACGCTCTGTATTACAACGTCTGGATAAAATAGCATTATATGATCATACGCGACGCCGCATTGTTACGTATCTCACGCTTGTGACGGCCGCCTGCGCTTGAATGGGTACTTCTCGTTCATCCCGCGTAGGACGGCTAGCTGCGTTAAGTAACACTCGTGGAGGCACATATCTTATCCCATGACCGACTCACACCGGCGGGCAAGAAACCGAGATAACATACGCCGCGGCCCTCGTAGCGGCGATGGCACCTGTTGTGCGACAGCAAGATAGGCCAAGAGCAAAATCGGATAGGCACGGATATTCTCAGACGTCCGAGCGCTCAGGGTCAGTCGACCATCGGCAGTCGCTTGAAGTGCGATACGAGGCGCGAGTACCTGCGTACACAGGTCAGAGATGAGCCTTTCGTTCACGTCCTCGATAGAGAAAGGGGGAATGGGAAACGAGAGATGGTTATACATGCCATTCTGTCTTTCGCGGACTGGCGACGACGGTGGGCGGAGGCGGAATCTCGTCGTTATGGCCGGCGATGGCGAATCCATCGATCAGCGGTGGAGGCCGCGCATTGCCGGATATGCTGGACGCAGAGCTGGAGGTGTCCGAGTTGGACGGGCATTCAGACGACCCGCTGCTTGCGCTGCTCCGTAGCAGATGTTCGTGATGTGCCCTGGGTCTGTGGTCTACGCTGAGACGACTGGGGCCCGTACGATCGGGGTGTTCGCTATGGATCACACGTCTATGTCAGTCTCTTGTATCAAATAGTGCGGGAGAGAGGTCATACGTGATGTTCATGCTATGAGGAGTCTCGCCGCATGCCGACGCCCAGCGAAAGTCGAGGGGGGTTTGATATCGCCTGAGCGTCTCTTGCAGCCCTGCCGTTTCGATCTGCGTCGCTGCTAGTTCTCTGCGGGATGGTCATTGATAGCCGGATTCCGCGTTGAAGAGGCAGAAAGGAACGACGAGGAAAAGGTCTGATCAGTAAGAAAAGTAATGGCGTACTCTTTCACATCCTTGTGCCGAGCTGCGAGCAACTTCGCACACGCTTTTTCTTCTGCGAGCTCGCCTTCGATAACGTGAAGCTCTCTGGGAAATATCCAAGGGAGAAATAAGAAGGGTCAGAGAACGGCGCTCTTCGCCGACGATCCTACACGCGCTCGTGATACGCGGTGTTCGATATGCAAACCTCTGAAAACCGGTTCTCCCAGGTGATGCGCTCGCGATTTTCGGCATGGTATCCGTCCTTCCAGTAGCCCAACAAGACATCATGGCCGAGCAAGGTGCCGACGGAGGCGGCCAGCGCTTTATCCTTGAATCGAAAAGAAGAAACAATTGGTGAATTACGGTGGTGACCATTTACGGAGGGATGCGACCCACGGAATGGCTAGGATCTGCCAGCCATCTCTGGGCCTTCTTCAGAGCGTCGCAGTACCGCGGGCCCGGAGGCACCTCGTAAAACGCGTTCCAAAGTTCGGCCAAAAGCTCGCGCGCCTCGACGTCATGCTCGTCTGTCGCCTTCGTGGGCGGTGGCGAGGCTGCGGCGTTTATCCGCGTATGAACGCCCTCGTCCTTCGCATCCGGCTTGCCCTTGAATTTTCCCGAGCAGCCGCACGGCGGCGCCTTCTCGCGCGACCGCGACTCTGGCCGTCTGGGCGGGGCATGTTCGACCCTCAGCTTCGTGACGCGCGCCTTCGCAAAGCTCTTGCGACAAAACGGGCACCTGTTCTCCGCGAAACCGCGAATGCAGCTCGCGCATATGACGTGCCCGCAGGTGATGCTGCTCGGCGTCTTCGCGCTCTCGACGTCGTCCACGGTAAAGTCCTCGAAGCAGATGTCGCACACGCTGCTCGCGTCAATCACGAGCATGTTCGCGAACGTCGGGTGTCCTCGACGAATCTGTTGACTATGAAGGCGGAAAAAAAGCGATACGGTCCTTGGTAAGTACTTATGGGCGCTAAGAGCTGGGGGGAGAGCTTACAGCTGTTTGCAGAGAGATAGACGCTGCACGTTTCTCTCTCCATGATCAACGTGACCGTGGTAACTGCCGCATTAGGAAACTAAACCCAATACTGCCCCAGCAGTGCGCCTCCTCCGCTTCCGCTCTTTCACGATTGTTCACATTTTGAAACTCTGCTTAGCGGGCTCCTGGTTGCTCGATATGATGGCAACAATAGGGCTCGCTTGGGTTTACTCTCTTCATGTGGATCAATTTTTCACGAAACAGATTGCTGAGACTTGTTGGCTAAGGTCATCCATGAAAACGAGCATATGTGATATGGAGTGCATTCCGATGATTTCCCGGTCTCGGCTTCGCAAATCTTCGATTTATAGACATGTATCGCAGCAGCTCTTTTGAGCAGGATGGATGTAACGACGGTTACCCACGTCGCTGTCGGCGTGTAGTGCCGTGCACCATGTAGTCGAGCACGACACTGACCGCGACATTGATGAACTAAACTCGTTCCTCTTTTGGAAGTCTCCACGACCACGTTGATTGTGGAGGGAGCGAGGCGCAGCGTCTATCTCTCTGCAAACAGCTGTAACGCGTTAGCTCCTATCCGCGAAAAAAGGTGCCCAGGTCACGACGCGACTCAGTGTTCGAGATTCACTGGGCCGATTTGAATCCCCGCAAGGTTAATCCCGAGATCGAATCCCGGGCCTCCGAGACTTACGGCCCATCGAGATTCTGCTGCCTCCGTTCATTGATCTCTCCTGGAGTCCACGAACACCCGTCATGTTTGGAGCTTGCACAACCGACTGGTTCTACACTATGCCGTGTTCCGCTGTGAATTGTGAACGAAGCGCAGCGGCCCCGCGTCACAGGTACGTTCCCGGGCCCGATCACACAGAGCGGGGTAGACCTCATTTTCCCTCAACATAGACGTTGCCGCGTTCTGAATTGCACGCGATACCACCCGACAAAAACGCCGGTTCGCACAAGGACTCCTATCGTGCGCAAGTAGTATGTAGGCTGCCGAGGCCCTGAGTCTTGACTCCATCCTCAGCAGAACTCGTGCATGTCGCGGTGATATCATCGACACGGTCAGGATTGCCGCAATGTTCGACCCTGCGTTCACCGAGATGTGGCGCATCAGAGACGTTCGTGGTGCGATTCCCGCCGAAGGTTATTCATGCTATCGACATCCTCACCAGGATTTTCTCCGTCTCGCGGAAACCCACACGCCCTCGGGCGTGCATGATCCTTGCAAACTGTCTCGGTTCTCGACGACGCATCCCTGCGACCGTCTGCACAGCGCGGATCTGACCTGCCTGACGTCATACGTCAGCCCGAAGGGCGGCAAGAACGTTTCTGCCATGTCACCCATTCAGATCGGACTTCCGGTTACATCAGTTTGACATGGACTCCAAGGGCGCGGCAAAAAGCGCATACAAAACCAGCGTTCATGTATTCGGTGTGGGTAGCGAACGCGACGATCCACCACAATCTACTCACCACCGGTCCCTTCCTCCTCCTAATCCCTTGCACCCGACATCCTAGGCTGCCCCAATGTCAGCCATGCTCCGCCGCGGCGCGCTCGCGACCGACCTCCAAGCGGCCGCGCTCGAATACGTCGGCACGACGACGTTCCTCCTCCTCTTCTTCGGCGCCATCCAGGCCGTCTCGGTCCAAGACCCGAACGTGGCCTCCTCGCCTATCGTCGAGACGCAGCTTTACATCG